TGGTGGTTCAAACCCACCAGCTGCTGCTTAGAAACCTGATACAGTGTCTTTATGAGTTGGAACCAACTTGATGGCACTTAACAACTACATTGGAAAACGGCTTACAGCAAAGCCTACCTGACCAATAACCCTGCTCTCACCGTGTTCATTCACAGATGGATGTTAAGCTTCCCATTCCATTATAGTCTTAAGGAGCTTGGGGTCTTTTTGATTTATGATCTTCTCTCCCTGTCCTTTTTCAGTCTAGCAATGCACAAAAAAAAAAATGTGGCTTGATTTAAGCCAATATGTGTAAAAATAAGATTTGAGAAAAATAAAATCTTATTCTCAATGCAAAAGTTATCTTCACTTCACAAAAGTGTGCCGGTGTTATTTTACATAATGAACTCTCCTATTGCCTTAGAGTTATTATATGTTAAAATCACTGTTTCTAGAAAGTTATCTACCTATAAAATGTAACAGACATATTTGGCTCAATCAAAGATGAAGGCAAATCTTCAACGTTTATTTTGACTTGGGTTCTTGTGTTATCATGAAATTTAGTTTACTACCATTGAAAGATCTCTTTGTATATTCATCTATAATTATTGTTGTTGTTGTTATGTGCCATGGAGTCGGAACCGACTCATAGCAACCCTGAACAGGGTTTCCGAGGCTGTAAATCTTTATGGGAGTAGAAAGTCTCATCTTTCTCCCGTGGGACAGCTGGTAGTTTCGAACTGCTGACCTTGAGGTTCGCAGCCTGATTCGTAACCACTACGCTACCAGATTCAACACAGAATATTTTAAAAACCTGGAAGTTAACAATAATGATTTTTAAAAAAAGTTTGAAAGGTTTATAAAACTTAAAAGCACCTTAAAACTATGAATCAAAGAATACATAAGAGATTATTTAAGCAGTGCTTTGTCAAAGCCGTTCATTTCATAAAATGAATGTAGACAGATTAGATACCTTGGAATAAAAAAGAATAAAAAAAAAATTGCTTGATAAGTATCCTCAAAAGTCACCAACAGGGCAAGCAATAGAAGAATGCTAAAACAAACAGAAATCTTTTGGTTATATGACGTTTTTCCTCCAAAGCAAACTGGTGTTAAACTTGATCTATAATTTTAGTGTCTTCATATCAATAGTTGTAGGATCTAACCCATCATTCCCTTCCATCAGAAGATATCTCTAGACTACTAATAGTTTGTGTGTGTAAATGGACAGAATGGATCTGTCAGTGAAGGTAAAAGTACACCTGAAACATATAAAAATATAGTGTTCAATTTATAGATGCACTAAAGAGTAGCATGGATAGGAAATGCTTCAGCAGGCATTACAGTATACAAACACAAACACACACATGGATTTATAACAGAGATTAAGGAAACATTAAAAAATGGGCAATTCTCACTTCCAAGTAACTACAACTTAAAACTTTAAACTTTAGGATGAATTTCTGAAGCTTTAGCTATTCAACATGCAAGAACATTCTTAAAAATGTATAATGACAAGCAGAAGCATTAGAATTGTGCTAGAAAAAGTACTTAAGGTATAAAAACATATATAATAGGTATAGTTATCTCTGTCCAGTTATCAGGCTGAATTTTTAAGTGAAATTTTCTTCTCAAAAGAAGAAATGGATATATTTTTTAACTTTAACACACGTATTAATAAAGGTCCAATTAGTCAGGGACAGAGCTGTGCTAGCAAAAAATGTCCCACTGGTAATTCATGCCTCTGCCCATCTTTTTAGTACTATGTAATTGACCTTTAGCATGCAGAAGAGTTAATGAGGTTCTACTCCTCCTACTCTACCTAAGTTTGCTCAGCTGATTCCTGGCCCTCGACAATGGCTGCAGTGCGATGAACTCGTCACTTAAAGCGACTGTGTTGGAGTACATCTATAAGTGGACAGAAAAGGGATGGGACATATGACAAGTCAGTGAGCTGTAGTCATCACCTAAGAGACAGACACAGGACATGCTTTGTAAAGACATCTGTTCCTACTACAGCTGGAAATATCATACATGGTACACATACATGACTGACATTTGTAGAGTTGGTGGCTTTACCATCAAAAAATTTATTTTTCATTCTTAACACCACATTGTTATTCTGGTGAAAAACAAAGCTCAGAATAACTGTGGGTATGATCTTTCTTGCTACTTTGGTAAACAATGAATTAGCTGACATGTTTCTGTCTCTCCATCGCTGGAAATCAGAGGTGATGATGCAATGCTGGAATAATAATGATTACTGCCTGCAGTAAAGAAATAATGTCACACAGGGATCTAACTGACCATATACTGTCTCAGTGGAAATGAAACAGCAGGCTAGGAGGTCCATGAGTTGAGAGTTTCTTCTTGCAGTAGACAACACTAGAATATCTAGTCAAGTTATTTAAAAATGAATTTGGTGAGGGAAAAAGGGAAATTAAATTGGCTCTCAACACATAAATTAGGTAACTGATTTATTGTACATTTAATTTTTAATCAATTTTAACCTGTGGTAAAAGAAGCAATATA